GCCCAGGCATTTGTGCCTTTTCAATTCGTGCTTGTATTACACGTTTGGTGCACAATAAAAGGCAAATCGGATAAAGATATATATGAGAGCTATATCCAAATCTGAACCGATGTCGATCAAATTTGGCAAAGATATTTCTGAGCTGTATTCTCCGAATGTCGTTGTTACGAACATATAACAAATCGAACGAAACTTATGTATGGGAGCTAAAGCTATATCTGAACCGATTTTCACAAGATTTGACATACTTGTTTCTAGACTCAATTTGGTCGAATGTGCAAAACTCCATAATTTGGCCTGATATTGCACCTTTGCTGCACAATAAAAGGCAAATCTGACGAAGATATATATGGGAGCTATATCCAAATCTGAACCGATTTCAATAAAATTTAGCAAAGGTATTTCTGAGCTGTATTTGTTATTTTTCCCCAAATACCATTGTTACAGAATGCATATTACGACTGCGGAAGACAAAAATAACAAATCGGATGAACAGTGTATATGGGAGCTATAGCTATATATGAACCGATTTCGATCAAGTTTACCATATTTATTTTCAGACTAAATATTGTCGTATGTGCAAAATTATATATAATTTTTGGTGCACAATGAAAGACAAATCGGACGAAGGTATATATGGGAGCTATATCTAAATTTTAACCCATTAACCAATTTCAATAGGGTTCGTCCTTGCGCTAAACAAATTATTTGTGCAAAATTTCATCTAGATCGTACAAAAAATACGACCTGTACTTTGTGTAGAAAAATACATGGACAGACGGACATGCATAAATCGACTCAGAAAGTAATTCTATGCAGATCATCAATATCAATATGGGTCTATATCGTTTCCGTTTGTCTGTTACAAACAAATGCACAAAGTCGTAATACCCTGACCACCTTATTGTGTAGGGCATAAGAAACGAAAATTTTCAATAATCTTCGTGATAAGTTTTTTCCTGAACTTTTTTGTTGACGCTTTAAAGTAACATAAAATGTCATTTTAGGTCAAGGTGTCAAAGAAGGAAATATTTTACACAAAATTTCACTATAAACCTCAGAATCACGCATCTATGTGCAATAGTTTTCTTGGAAAATACATTCAAACTGTACTAAAAGAAAAAATTATGCTTTGATTCTTTTCACTATTTATTAGACACGTATCCAATCCGAATAAAATCACCCTTTATATGACAACTTTTGGTTAAAAGTGTTAAAGGAGGAATTATTCTACATCAAATTTCATTATTAGTCTCTGAACAAAAGAAATTTGTACATTCAATATGTACCATGAAAAAAGTATCATGAATTTTTGTTTACAAAAAACGATAACTACTTCTTAAACAATTAAATATTTTCCCTTATTCTCTGCAAATTTTCTTATAATTTCACTGTACAATTGCCAGTTTGGAATGTGAAAATACCAAGTTTATTTTATAGAACTTGTATATAGATAAAAACTCTAAAGAAGTTTAGGATTTTTAGGCTAAACGTTGGTGAGGACTTTGTATAGTCTTGTATACAAAGGGGTTCCTATAGTTTGAGATATCTTTCGCAACGTTTAAGATAGAGCTTTGAAATTTGATAGAGATCTATGGATTACATCCAGAATAATTAGTACAGAAAATTGATCTTGTTATTCCTTTTTTTTTTTTTTTTTTTACTATAAGGATAACTCCGATTTCAAGTTTTTTTTACGATTGACAATGTTTCCCATTATATTTCGCTAAATATTGACATCTTGAGTTCTTATTATGCAGGAACGATATTTATTTCGAGTGTCTTGACCGTGTTTTTCAATCGATATGGCTTTAACCTGGTTTCTATGGGCATGGAACACTTTTTTATCAGCTTCCTTAAATTCCCGATGATTCCAAACAAAGTACATATACTTTGATCCTTTCCCAATTTCGAAGACAATTTTGTGTCTTCCAGATTAAGAGTTGTAACTATGAGTACTGTTTTCATTAAATGATGCTATCTTATCCAAAATTCTAGAAAAAAGTAAACATTTGTGAATCTTTATTTAAATATCAGTCAAGTTATATTTTTTCCTGAAAAACATATACGACTAAAAAGTAATAAAAACTGAATCCATTTTTTTTTAAATAGGAATAGAGCGAGAATTCTGATATTTGGAAATCCGATTATCTTTATCAGATTTTAGGTTTATTGTACATCAAATTGCTAATATCAGCCCAAATGGGCTGAATTTTGCCACTTCCGACGGACTTCAGCCCAGAAGCAAGTACTTTTAATTTTGATAAAAAACGATTCAGATTTAGCTATAGCTCCCATATATATGTTTCATCCAAATTGGTATTAAAGTCTCTCACATGCTTATATGCACTCCACAACAATAATATTTGCTACCGGAAATCTGATATCGCTCGAAAGTACCTCCGCCAAATTTTACCGAGATCGGTTCAGTTTTTTATATGACTTCGACATACATCATCCGATTTTATGGTTACTGTCCCCTATGTAATATGTATGTAATACCAACCCATATTGGAAAGAGTTTTTCATATTCAACCGATTTTTTCCATTTGGTCAAACTCGGTATGGTATAACTAACTATTGCCCCAATAAACATTTTTATACCCTCCACAATACATAGCATGGAGGGTATATTTAGTTCCTCATTCCGTTTGTAAATCATCGAAATGATAACTTTAGATCCAACAAAGTATATATATTCTTGATCAGCGTAAAATTCTAAGACGATTTAGCCCTGTCCGCCTGCCTGCCTGTCTGTTGTAATCACGCTACAGTCAAAACGAATTAAGATAGGATGCTAAAACTTTGCACAGATCAGTCTTTTGTCTGCATGCAGGCCAAGTTCGAAGATGGGCTATATCGATCTACGATATCGTATAGCCATATAACGGTACCCCCGATATTCGTTATTTGGATGATGTTACCCACCTTTTTCAATGGAATAGTCTGCAAACCTAAACAAGGTTTTGCCCCCTGGAAGAGAATTATCTATATAGGTCCACTATGTCGTATAGCCCCCATATAACGGTACACCCCGATATTCGGTATTTTGCTGATTTTCGCCACATTTTTCAGCGAAATTATCGGAGTTTATTGTGAGAACTTTGCCCCCAAACTATAGAGTTGTCTATATTGGTCCCATATATCGGCACCTTTCGTTATTCGGTATTTTTACGATTTTAACAGATTTTTTAATGGATTTCATTTTTTTGAAAAATTTCTAATTCGTTCAAAATGTTGGAGGGTATTCGAAGTTAGGCCTGGCCGAACTTACTACTTTCTTTACTTGTTTCATATAATTTTTATGGAAGTCATTCGTGCGCTATACAGCAATGTAATTTCGAACTAGAGATACAAAAGCCCCTGTCAAGTTTGTAAAAATCGATTCAGTGTTGGATATAGTTTCCAAATTGTGCCTACTCTAAAAATATGATACGCATTCAAATATGTTTCTTAGTTGGTATGATCTACTTCACATAAATTCCCAATATAACCTTTTTTTGTTACGGGAGCTTCACACATAATGGTGTCTCTACTAAATACGCATTGTCGGCCCCGACCGACTTTTGACCTTTCTTTACAGGTTTTATATGCAGAGGGAGAAATGCATTTCTTGAGATAGATGAAGAATATTTATATCTTTGACGTCAGCCTTTTAAAATAATTCTTTATTGGAGTTTTTTGCGCCAACCTACAAAATACGGATTCAACCCTAAAAAGTGTTTTTATATTTTAATTTTTTTATTTAAAATTTTTACTTTTTATGTTTTCTAGAACCTGTAGTAGAACTTTATGACAAATAATTTTATAAAATATTTTGAGTTGCTAAGTTTTTAGCCATATTTTAAAAAAGGACCAAATCCGAAAAATGTTATCTACAATATTACCGAAGACACTATATACTTAAAATGCACGGATTCCGAGAAATCTTAATCCGAAAACTTCTAAAAATGTGAAATTGACCACCTTTTTTTTGTTATTTTTCTAGTAAACTTTCTAAACGCCGATAGAACGAGATCCGCTTCAGAGAAACTGAAATAAATATACATGGCACAAGTATGTTGCTCATCATAATTCTCGAAGGCATTAACTACTTTGATCCAAATTTGCACATCGATATATTTCCACCAATAATATATTCTGGTGTCTCATACATATGACCGGAATTGTGAAATCAGTATTAGGTAAGGTGCAAAAGGGAATAATATCGGCTTGTCCTTCATTAACCCTTCATAGAGGTGTAAAGTTATGAATTATTATAACTCTACTAAAGTCTGAACTGGGTTGTTTTAAAAATTTTAAAAATCATTAATAATTGGAATACTTTGCACATCGCCATTTTACGGTCCAATCAATATATCATAACTTTTTACATTTCGATATGAATTGTTATCGATCAGAATTGTCTTTTAGTTTAAAAAAAATATATATAAAAATAATTCATCTTTGATGGTGAACACTATTAAACACTTTCAAAACAATGTCCCCGTTAGAAAGTGTGGTTTTGACTGCTGCCGATGTTGGAACATCATCACATCGACCAGATTGGATCAATTGAAACATCATATCACTAGGTACAGACCTACATATGTATTTATATCTTCACGCAGGAAGTAATAAATCCATGTTTGTTTCGATACAAATTTGTTCTCGAACTCGTTCGTCCATTTTTGTGTCCATGCGTTGTCCGAACACATTCACACACACATACACATTGTACTGATAGATTTAACGGAAATGCATGAGAACAGCTGCAATACGATGATTATGATGGCTGCACACTGGACGAGTGAACGAACGAAGCCAACCTATCTGACTGGATTCGTTTGTCCCCCGCCAGATGCTGATGCCACAGAATTTGTCTGGTTCTTTATGTTCGACCATCAAACAATCGTCCTATTAATCCGTCCATCTAATTTTGAGGCTTGCGAATGTGATAGGCCTGTCGATATTCTGTGTTTCATTTTGCGTTTTTAGTTTGTGTTTTTAATTTGTATCGCGCGAGTTACGTATAATCATACTACCCCTGATAAAATTGATAAGTTCTTGGAAACAATTAGCCAATAAAACGTGTACAATTATTGCACTGTAAGCATAAGTGAATTTGACATTCTTTAGTTTGACTTTATTTTATTTTTCCAGTTAAAACTGTCTGGAGCTGAGTATACAATTATTTACAAAAGTGTGTTAATCAAATTTCATTTAAAATAAACTTATGCTAACACTGCAATAATTAATTAACAAATAATACCTGTAGAATAAGTAAATTAAAAATGTAAAAGTTAGTCTTAGTTCCATCCTCTTAGTCGCAAGTCGACGAATAAATAAATAAAAGAAAGAAAAAAAAAAAAAAAACAATTTTTTTTAATAAACATAATTAATCAGGTTATCTAATTGGCGCAGTCGGTAGGATCCTTTAGGAATTAAAAAGGATCCAGTGAAACGTACCTAAATTATAAATAATTAAATAAATTCTGCGAATCCTACGGGACCCTCCAGGATTATAAAATAAACATTAGTGCAGTGAATAATTAAAAAAAAAAAAAAAAAAAAAAAAAAAAAAAAAAAAAAAAAAAAAAAAAAAATTAAACACCACTAAAATAAACAATAGTGCAGTGAATAATTCAAAAAATTGAACACCACTAAAATAAACAATAGTGCAGTGAATAATTCAAAAAATTGAACACCACTAAAATAAACAATAGTGCAGTGAACATTTAAGTTAAGTGGACACCACTAGATAAAGGAAGTCAATCCTTTTTTTTTTCTTTTAAAAGTGTATTCGCAAAGGCAAAAAGTCTTCGACAAACGAAGAAGAATGGAGGAACAAGCTCACATCGCATCCGTAAATGTGGCAGAAGAACTAGCCAGAAAGGATCAACAATTGGAACGGTTACGCCAAGCATATCTAGAATTGCAACAGCAAACACAAGAACTACAACAACAACAGCGTAACCCGGTGTTATATGATACACAATCAAATAATGCAAAAGACAACATTTTAAAAACGATAAATCATCTACCCATTTTCACCGGCACCGGAGAAGTAACGGTGAACAGCTTTTTTAGTAGCACTGAATACTTGCTGTCAACTATACAAGATGAAAATATTAAGAAGGAGGCCATAAGAACAATATTCTATAAAATAATCCAGGGACAAGCTAAAGACGTCATAATAAACATACCCACACCGGACAACTGGCAACTAATCAAAGAGACTTTAAAACTAAGGTATAGACCGAACGTGGAACCACACAATATATATAGGATGATAGCCAACTTAAAAGTAAATTCGGTAAGTGAATTAATAATAGAGTTGCAGAATCTAAAATATAAGGCAGATGAGTTAATAGTTTATTACCGAAATGACCACTATATTGACTTATCAAACGTGGACAGTCTTTTAGTAAATACAGTTAAGGAAATGACACAAGGTACACTGTTAGACAAAATTTACGAAGAAAGAAACATTAATGATATATTAAAAATATTGACAAGAAGGAGATTTGAAGACACATGCATTAGGCCAGAATATAGGAAGTTTAGGACTAAAGACGACGTAACATTTAGACAAAATCGGTCGCAAAATAGGAATAATTTTAATCCGCAGATTAACAGTAATAACCAGGGATATAATCAACGGAATTGGTTAGGACAAAATAATTTTAGGTCGGATATTAGACAAGAACGAAATAATAATGATAATAATAAAACCTATAATAATAATAATAACGATAACTATAATAGGAATAGAAACTTTAATCATTCAGGACAGTATAGAGTCCAACAAAATAACAGTTATAATAATAACTATAATAATAGGAATCAAAATGGAAATTTTAATCATTCAGGACAGTATAGAGTCCAACAAAGTAACTATAATAATATGTCGGGAAATTTCAGAAGGTTTCAGCAACAGGTAGGAAACCCTAGGCCAAATTTCAGCCAAAATCGCTTGAATCAACCTAGGCAAGACCAGCAGGAACCTATGGAAATAGACAATATAGAAGTAGATAATTATCGAGTAGTAGGAAACTCTGAACCAAATTTACATCAGGATAATGGACAAGACCAAAGACAAAATAATTTTTTTCGGAAACAACCTCCGATTGTTTACCTACCATAACCATTACGATTAATAAAAGGAAATATAAAGCTTTGATTGATACAGGCGCAAACTTAAGCCTGATTGACAGTAAGGTAAAAGATTTTGAACGAGTTTTACTAAAACAACCTATAGAATTTAGCACCATAACTAGGAAGGACATAATTAAATTTGAAGTTATAACTGACGCACCTATGGAATTTAACTTACCAAATTATACAAAATTAAGTGGAAAATGCAAGAGTTAAAAGGAAGAAAGTACAATTTTATTATAGGAGTTGATTTACTAAACCATTTTAACACGATGATAAATTTAATAGACGGACACATAACATTTAATAACAAGATTACAAAATTTTTAATTAATCCATATAAGGATTTGGAAATATGTTCATTGGAAAAACTGGAAGTTGACTTGGACAGAATTCAGTTGAATCATTTAAATGCAGAGGAGCATTTAGAAGTTACGAGAATTTTAAGAAGATTCGACAAAATATTTTTTAAAGAAGGGGACCAATTGACAAGTACAATGACAATAAAACATGAAATAAGAACGACAACAAATGAACAGATAAATTCCAAATTATACAGATATCCGCCACAACATGAAGAAGAAGTACGACGACAGATCAGGGAAATGGAGGAACAGGGCATAATTAGGAAAAGTTGTTCAAGATATTCAAGCCCATTAATAGTAGTACCCAAGAAAATAGATAATTCTGGAGAGCGTAAATATAGATTAGTGGTAGATTATAGGAAGCTTAATGAAGTGACGATCGATGATAAATATCCACTACCGAACATAGATTCAATTTTAGATAAACTAGGACGAGCACAATATTTTACTACCTTGGATCTAGCCAAGGGATACCATCAAATTCTAATAAGAGAACAGGACAGAGAGAAAACAGCTTTTGTGACACCTCACGGATTATATGAATTCATAAGAATGCCGTTTGGGTTAAAAAATGCCCCAGCGACATTCCAACGATTAATGAATGAAACACTAAGAGATTTCATTAATAAAACATGTGTAGTTTATCTGGACGATATACTTATTTTTAGTACTTCTCTTAAGGAACACGTTAAAGCCATAACGGACATTTTCACGGTATTGGAACGGGCAAATTTAAAAATACAAATCGACAAATGTAATTTCATGAAAAGAGAGACAGAATTTTTGGGGCATATTCTGACAAAGGAAGGACTAAAACCAAACCCCAATAAAATTAAGGTTATTCAAGAATTAGATTTACCTAAAACAGAAAAACAAATCAAAAGTTTCCTGGGATTAACGGGATATTATAGAAAATTTGTGAGAGATTATGCTAAAGTCGCACAGCCAATAACAAAATACTTAAAGAAAGGTGTAAAAATAAATTTAAGGGACCCTACATACATAGAAGCTTTTGAAAAATTAAAATCTTTAATTAGCTCTCATCCAATTTTAAGATACCCAAATTATGAAAGACAATTTACATTAACTACAGATGCGTCGAATTACGCAATCGGTGCTGTCCTGTCACAGGAGGGACATCCAATTTGTTTTGCATCAAGAACGCTTAACAATCACGAAAGAAATTATTCGGCAACAGACAAAGAATTTCTAGCAATATTATGGAGCGTTAATTATTTGAGACCATACCTCTATGGTCGAAAATTTAAGATACTTACGGATCACCAACCCATCAGATTTTTACACACAAAATATAGAGGGAAAGACATGTCACCCAGGCACCAGCGATGGTTTTTGAAATTAGGAGAATACGATTTTAATATAGAATACATAAAAGGCAAGGAAAACAAGGTGGCAGATTTTCTAAGTAGAATTGAGAAAGATAATGAAGATGATACCATTTCAGATAAGGTACAAAATTCGGAGAATAATTCAGAATTGAGAATAATAAATAATATTGAGGATGATGATGATGTATCAATGATTACAATTCATTCAGCTGATGAAAATTTACAAGATCATTTCTTTATAAAAGAAGAAATAGTGAATAAGTACAGGACACAGATTATACTTACAAATGATAAAGTTCAGGAAATAAAACATTTACATAATAAAAGGATAATTTTCATAGCGGAAAGTGATTTTCACGAAATGGGGGAAATATTTAGAAAGTATATTACCAAAGGAAAAATAGGTATATTTTCGGAAGTATCGGAGAGAAGCTATAATACTGTTCAGGAAAAACTAATAGAAATGTACTCTAATGAGAAACAAGTGGAATTTATTAAATGCACTATCAGGGCTCAAGATATAGAAACAGAAGTGGAGGCGGTGAAACAGATATCATTATATCATGTAAAAGAAAGTATGCACTCGGGCATACAGGAAACATATAACCAAATAAAAATAAAATTTATTACCCAAGATTAATGGAACTAATTCAATTAGTTATAAATCAATGTGAAGTTTGTCAGGAGATAAAATATGATAGAAATCCAATTAAATTGAAATTCTCATACACAGAAACACCGTCGACGAAAAACGAAATAATACATATTGACACATATGTGATTAAAAGATTTCATTTTTTGACAATAATTGATAAATTTTCTAAATTCGGTGCAGCGTATCCATTGAATGATAGAAATCATTTAACAATAATGGAGCAATTAGATGATCATTTTACAAAGGTAGGGAAGCCAAGGAAAATAATAGCCGATAATGAATTTAAAGCCACTAGACTAAAGGAATTCTTAGACAATGAAAATATAGAATTGCATCTGACCAAACCTAATAGTCACACGGGAAACGCCGACATAGAACGATTTCACAACACAATTGCGGAAAAGTTTAGGATAATGTATAAAGCAAATAAGGAAATACCGGTGAAACAATTAATTCAGAGATCAATTAGAAATTACAACGAACGATATCACTCAACTATTAAATGTACTCCTAAAGAGGTTCAACAAGGAAAAATGGATGAAAATAAAGTTAGAAAGTATTTAGAGGACAGTAAAAGAAAAATAATAGATAAAATAAATAACTCTAGAGAAGATTATAAGGAAAATAGAAAAGAAGGGTTTATAAAAAATTATAAGGCCGTCCGACATAAGGAACAACCGAAATATAAAAAGACAAAACTGGAGCGAATACATCCGTGCAATATTAAAAGACCTTTGAAATTTGCAGATTTGGACAATACTGATGATACTAATATGGATACCACAGACTAGAGGGATAATTACTACAAAATTTCTGACAGAACAAAGAGGATATATGGACATTTGCATGGGAAATCAGAAAATTGTTAATGAATCGGACATAATTTTACATATAATCAATCTTCACGAAATTGAAACAATTTTAGATGACATAACAGATAACATTATTCTAATGAAAATCGAAAACAAAGAATTACTTGAGTTAGAACTATTAGATGCCAGAAATAAATTAATGACGTTGATACCCAAACAAAATAGAAAAAGACGTGGACTAATTAACGGTATAGGAAGTATGACCAAATGGTTATTTGGGACGATGGACGATGAAGACAGACGGAACATACAAGAACATCTTCTTAATATTAATGAAATTAAGGAAAATAATAATCAACAGATTGTAATTAATGATTATTTCAATATAACTTTAAGTCATTTAAAGATGGTAATTAAGAATGATAGAAAGAAAATAGAACAAGAATTAAACTCTATAAACAAATTTTTAGAGGAAGAAAATAATAAAAGTTTATACTTAGAACAATTGACTAATATACAATTAATTAAGAATAAGATAGAGCATTTGCAAGACAACGTAATTTCTGCAAAATACGGGATTGTACACCCAAGTATTTTAACAAGTAGAGAAATAAGAAAATATGAAATAGATTATAACAAACTTAAATATATTCAGTTTGGAACAACATTTCTTAACAACTCTTATCTTGTGTTTGGAATAAAAATACCTAAACAATTTATAACAGTAAAATTAAGATTTATTGTACCAATACCAGATAATGAAAATAATGAAATAGAATCTAATATGGAAAGATTTTTTGAATTTCAAAATAAAACTTATAAATTTGAAGAGAATAAACATTTAAAAGATTTAAAGTTAAGTCATCATTGTTTAATAAAGAATAATTGTCAATTGATAAAAATAAAGACTTTGAAATTATACAGTTAGATATAGACACAATTATAATTAAAAATGCAATAAACACGACTGTAAATCAAACTTGTAACTTTGAAAAAATTTTGTTAAATGGAAATTATTTAATTAATTTTAATAATTGTTCAGTTAGGATAAAAGATTATTATTTTTCAAATATTGCAGAAATTACAAAAGAAAGACAAATAATTGAAAATACAAACAAAACTCAAAATTTTAAACATAAGATATCGTTCGAACAAATTGAAAAAGAACATCAATACAATGTAAGAAATATCGGAAAATTAAAATACCACACTAAAATAACATATGTATGTAATATTTCTATAGTAATTGTAATAATTATTTTAATTTTCATAATCATAACAAAACATAAATATATAACTGTAAAATTAAATAAAAGAATTCAGGAGAATTCTAGTCTAAAGGGGGGAGTAGTTACGTATAATCATACTACCCCTGATAAAATTGATAAGTTCTTGGAAACAATTAGCCAATAAAACGTGTACAATTATTGCACTGTAAGCATAAGTGAATTTGACATTCTTTAGTTTGACTTTATTTTATTTTTCCAGTTAAAACTGTCTGGAGCTGAGTATACAATTATTTACAAAAGTGTGTTAATCAAATTTCATTTAAAATAAACTTATGCTAACACTGCAATAATTAATTAACAAATAATACCTGTAGAATAAGTAAATTAAAAATGTAAAAGTTAGTCTTAGTTCCATCCTCTTAGTCGCAAGTCGACGAATAAATAAATAAAAGAAAGAAAAAAAAAAAAAAAACAATTTTTTTTTAATAAACATAATTAATCAGGTTATCTAATTCGCGCGCACACACACATGGAACACATAAAATTGTGTAATTATAAAAATTACTGTTGTTGAAAAAATGTGTTATTATGTTTTAAATTAAATTTATGTTTTTTATAATTGCCGTTCAATAATAGAATGGGTATTGTTGTACACGAGCTCTGATGTTAGTGTAAATTATGGACATTAACACAGAAAATACATTGTTCTATTTTATGCATGTATAAATGTAGGTTTTAAGCTGCATCAGCATGTTGTATTGAATTAAAAAACATATGGTATTAATTGATTATTTATTGCTTTTGCAGTGCTTTTTACTTCAATTTTGCGAATATTTAAACTGCTGCAGAAGTTTAAACTTCAATATTACGTTCCAACTGCTTTAAAAAATTAATTGAAAATACTACACCAAATTAAAGCCTGTAAAGAAAGTCCAAATGTCGGCCGGGACAGCTTTATGATAACCTTCACAACTTTGAATATTTAGTAGAACTACCCCTAACAAATAAACGTTTTTACGGGGAATTTGTGAGAATTAAATCATACCATCTATGATCGTGTTTAAATATTTAATGGCTTTAAAGCGGTTATAATTAAATGCCAAAGGCTGCTAAAATAGGGAAGGTATAACCTACTCTGAATCGATTTCTACTAAACTTGACGGAGACATTTGGGTCTGAACCAATATACATCAAAATACATCTTATATGAGCTGAGCTTTTTAGGCATAATGAACGTAAAATCGGATGAAGATATATATGGGAACTATATCTAAATCTGAACCGAATATAATTTAGCAGAGGTATTTCTATGTCGAATCTGATAGCTGGCACCAAATATCCCAGAAACTTCATTTAAATCGGATAATGAATGCGAGCTGTACTTTGTTCACAAAAATCATGACAGACAGAGGGACTGGCATCATTAAATCGACTCAGAAAGTGATTCAATGAGATCCCTTAAAAGTAATTATGCCTCTATCTCGTTTTCCTCTCCCTCTTCGCCGTGGTCAGGGTATTAAAAATGTTTAACACATCATCCAAGGGGATTACTTGCATTGTGATATTTTGTATTCATATTTTTTCAGATGTAAGTTAATGTAAAAATGAGGGTCAATCTTGGGCAAGATATTTCACAATTCGAGTTCCTATCGATATGCAAAGTCCAAGGCACCGGCTGTCGAGCATACCTTCAGTGAGTTGGGAAACCCGAACGAATCCCGCTTCGGCTTAGAAGCCCTTGACATAGGCTTCCAAGAATTACTACAGTGAACTGCCGTCCCCTAATGATTATGCATGTGAACCCATGCTGTCTACGAAGATCTGGACATAAACATCCCAACTGCCTACATCGCAAACACCGTTTATCCACACTCGCCATCCCGATTACAATTCACTAAAGCTCCCATTTAGACGAAGGCGCGGACCTGCATAGGTAACTTTTGTCATAAGTCATTACAATATTCAAATACGCAACTTTAAAAAACAAGTAAAAAAACATTAAGTTTGGCCTTGCCGAACTTTTAATACCCTCCACCAT